TACTGACTATTCCTTCGAATAAGGCACTGACACTTTTTCAGGTAGCAGGTCACAATGCGGGGTCAGCTGCACCAGAAGAAGTTTTCAATAGTTAGCACAGGGATTTCTCTGGACGCTGAAGCTATTTCCTGCAAACAGGAAGTGGACTGTTTTCCTGTGTGTGCCGTGGCTGCTCTTGCTCACATCCTGCCTCAAGCTATCAGAGGAGACCAGACACACTGACCCACGGCTCTGTCAGGACCTGTCGTCACCAAGACGCTCCCCGCTTCACAGCCCGCAGCTCAGCGTTTCTCTCCATATCTCTGAATAACTCCATGCGGAGAACCAATTGTTTTCACTCAGTGACAGAAAGGTCATCGCGGACCTCGGTGTGTCTCGTAAATGACCTCCCACATATTCATCCTCTGTGCTCCTTTCCTTCCAAAAGAACTTTTTGGACGCAGTGTTTGATGCGCCCACTGTATTAAACATTCCTGTGGTTCCGATGAAGGGAAGGTACATAGAGGGAGGTGGTGAGTAATGGACTGAGGACAACAGTTTCATTGGTGATGCACTGATAAAGAACTTGTGTTTTCTTCTTCTAAAACCCCCCCCAGAGACCAAGACATCCCTCATAAAATGACCTCACTGGCACCTGCTCGTTTTTCAGCTTCTTTTTTATTTCAGTATGTGGATAAGGCTAGATATTTTTCGGCATGTGTTTCTCTGCTCATGCCTTTGTGCTGTTACTTTTTGTACTCAGCTTAACCACCAGGGAAACACGGCCGGGTTGTTGTTGCGTTGGCTGCTCCCACAAGTTGTTGTTGTACCTTTTTTCTTCTCTTACACAGGTCGAATGGGTGCACACTTCTCCGTCACTCTGTGTGGAAATGTGTACCGGTCGTGGTTACTGAGCTTGGGTCAGAGAATTTCCGTTTTCTTTCTTCAGCAGGTTATTATTGCGCATTTTATCCTTAATTTGGTTCTAGTCAGTCCATCCGTGGGCCCCAAAGAAGTAGATCAGTCTGTGCCTTTGAAGAGTTTGAGTGTGCTGTTATCTTTGCTGGTCTGTGTGTTGTGGTGGGACATGCTGGGCCCGGCAAGCCGGACTGGCTGCAGCCTGAACAAAGAGGCTCTGTGGTGTTGGATCATGACCAGTTCGTGTGTGAGCACAGACGAGTACATATGTGTGTGATTTGTGATGGCTGCTCTTTGTTTCCCAGCCTGGGGCCTTACTGGCCGAAGCTCAAGCCTGACTAATGTAGATGTATAAATACACTAGGCTGCCGTCACTTTGTGCAACATCAAGCACTCTATTGTTTTACACAACTCTGTGACTTCAGAGATTAACCTCATCCTTTGTTTGCAGCAGATTTTTTTTCTTTTTTTTTGTGCTATTGTTTCTTTTGAAAATTAGACATGTTTATTTTCTTTTGCAAGCTTAAAATCATGCCTTTAAGAAGTGGTATGAGATTATACAGCACTATATTCCCTCATCCACAGCTCTCATTTCTTATCAGCCGTCTTTCACGTTACACAAGTTACTTCAAAGTCTTTTGATGTCTTTACATATTTTGGTATGACTTTGAATTCTCACAGATATTGTTTTCAGTGGCCCTGTTTCCCATTCTTTAAAATCTGCTTTCCATCTGGCTGGTATCTGTAAATCAGTGAGACTTGTTAATCCTCACTTCTAAAGACATCTTTTATTGATTATGATGTTACTCTTATCTATAGTTCCACCAGAGGAGTTCTGCAAATTCTTTTAGTTTCTACAAAGAATGATCGTCTCCTTTTAGAATCACATTGTTTGTCAGCTGTTTACAAGTTTATTAATATAACTTTTCATTTTTCACAAGTGTTGGCCCTATGAAGTTATTGGCTTTTGTTCACTATTTCAGCCCATATTATTTGGACAGTTTGATCAAAAGACAGCAAAATGTCAGTCATATACATTTTAAACAAGATGCAGAACTATATAGAGAATGCATTTCTGTTATTTCCATGCAGCTGGTTTGAGACTGGTTAATGATGATGATGGTGATTATTCAGACATGATCACAATTATCTCCAATAATTGCTTTAATCATTCATTCTTAATTGTGGCAGGCCTGCAAGCACCCCCTCCAATATGAAAAGGAGAGCAAGTTCAATCAAAGTGAATCTGGAAGATTTTTTCCTTCCTCGTGAGCCAGAAAGGTTTATTTATGACGTCTTCGATTGTACACATGTTGACCCCTCTTTTTCGACTGGAAACACTAGGAATCGCCTCCATTTGTGTTAGACCCATTCAGGCATGAGGCATGCTCTAAATACAGGAACATGTTTACTTTAATGTTGTTTCAGGTTGTAGTTGGCCAAGTGGGCCATGGAGATAGAATTAACTTGACTTGCTTCTTACTGGTACAGGCATGTCAACACCCTTATGACTCATGCACTCTCCACTTACTGTAACCCTTCTGGCCCTCTGCCTTCTGGTCAGTGTGTGCATGTGTTGGATGTTTTAGTTTACGAAGCAGTGCAGTTAACTTTTTTTTTGGTGTTGCTGTAGTTCATATACTTGTGTGTCAGCTGGGAATAGATGAAGGAGCAGAGATTGAAAAAGGCACCACCATTTAACCTGTCACTGCGTTTTTTGTTTATCGGACCCTGTTCATTAACGCTGTATAAGCGCACCACATAACTTCTCCCCTCAGTACTCCCTCGGTCCTCTCTGATATCAGTTCAACCCGCAGTTCAACGACAAGGCCACCTGCATGCCTGAGCGGCGCATCGCATGACCCCTGCGCTTTCACATGGTGTCGCCCCTTTCTGTCTTCTTTGGCTGTTGGGTGAATGAATGGATGAACGGATGGGTGAATATATCACAAAACACTTCTGTGGAATAGTAGCGTTTGGGAATGTCGGGGGAACCGTGGTTAAATGGGTCAGGTCCCCTGACACAATAGTGGCATCACTGTGTGAGCCGTAGGGGAAGACAGGAGAGGGTAGAGAGGGGGTACAATCCTGCTCTCTGCACCAATTATGGACATAAATAACATCCTCAAAGAGCAGCCATGGAAATTAGGGTCAAAGGGTTAACTGTTTTCAAGAGGGTTGGACTAACTGATTCATTTTGATGTAACACAAAAGAATGTACAGAGAAGATTGAGCTGGCATGAATGAGTATTTACAGAATCCTCCAGTTTCACACACCTCTATGTATTCATATTGTGATTGTGTGTGTCATAGATTTTATTCCTAAGTGTTTGTTTCTTGTCCTGCTTTCTCAACAAGCCCACAGTATTATGTGTCTCAGCTTGTCAGCAAACACCAGACACTTTTATCAGGTGGCTCCAGTTACCCATCCACATGGCACTGCTGTGGGCACCTCCTGTAAAGCATATATTTTGGGTAGGGAAAGGTGATGACACTAATGACCGTGATAATGCCGAAGATGATGGGGGAGACGGTCGGGGGATTAGGTGTTGATTATGGGTTGAGGCAGTGAGATTGTCAGAATGACAGGGTGAACGGACGACACGGTGTGTTATTTAAAAGGCTGATTGTAGAAGGTGTAGTAAATGATCACCCTTGCACATGCGGTGGCAGTCGTCCTCTCCTTCCCCGTGCACACTGGACTGCGCTCAGCATTCTGCCGCAGACAGCTTCATCGTCCCTCCCTGCAGGCAGAAAACAGTGTTGCTTAATCAGCTGGAGAAAAGCGGAGCAGAGCTGTAATTTAAAGCTGAACACGGAGCACTCCGTAGGCTAAAAAAAACAGTGCTGCTTGATAGAAACACTGATAATGATTTGAACTGATAAAGGTAATATTTTTCTCAGCCTGATAGTGCCATGTAAGGAGTTGCTTTTTTAATTTTGTTTGCTCAAAGAATCCATGTGAAACATACATAGATTGAACACAGGTCAGCCATAACATTATTACTTCCTTGCTAGTGTTAAGCAGGTGTTTTTCACACTGCCAAAACAGGCCAGACCAGTCCAGGCATGGACGAAAAGGATCGGAGGCTATCGTAGAGTGTCTTGTAGCGGAACAAAGCGATAGATCCTTTGGACCTTGTAGCGCTTCTAACAGATGCCACCAGATCTTATCAGATTGGCAACCAGCGGTTTTTGTAAGGCCCACTCCTGCCCTGCCTGCATAAGATACTGCCACAGAATAATGAAACTGGACCGCTAAAGCGTCCTGTAAATTGGTAATTGTCAAGCAAATGATATCATTGAGAATGCTAGGACTTTTTCTTCCAGAGTGCTGCCTTTTCACAAGATGAGCAGTATTATTGGATAAGTAAACCTTATTGTAAAAGATTAGTCAAACTATAAAAAGAGAAGTGCACACGATGCATCTAAATTAGAGAGGAAATGAGAGCAAAACATTGGTGCCTTTAATCAGTTTAATCCACCATGACAGTACAGAGGAGAGGCTAAGTACGTTGGTTCTTTTGACTCTCCCACACTGCTGGCAATGATATGGTAATGTTTGTTAACTCTTAGGGCTTCGGCCAATCTCTGTTGGGACTTTCATCATGCTGCTGTCATTCATAATCTTTACACATGTAACCTATTTGTTCTCCGTGTCTTAAGTGATGCAAATGAGAAAGATGGATTACTTTATGGGTAACCAAACAACTGCTCTGTCCACTGAAATTGAATTCGATATTAAATTCTAGCTCTACGTGCTCTTTATAGCAAAATGTAATGCTGATCTAGTAGTCATATGTCATCCTTTCACTTGGCCAAATTATATCTGTGTCCCAGTTATATGGTTTGATAAGATGATTAATAACATGGCTTACAGCTGCATTTGATTTAAAGCAACATGATCATTTATCACTTCAGGAGAATTACCTGATCATTCTTTTGACTGCCGCATGTGCTTCTCTCTTGTATTTAAAGGTCACTGGACATTCAATTTTCTTTTGTTTTAGACTGTTCAATATAGAGACGAACAACACCCTTGAAAGTCTTTTATAACTATTTGGCTTGTTAACTGATTCTGTATTTTGTGTATTTCAATGCAGAGTGCAGCAATGGAGGAAACAGTGATATGGGAACAGCACACAGTGACCCTTCACAGGGTAAGTGTTTACAACATTTTTATCCACTCTTCCCTCTCTGATTTGGGTCTTCTGCCTGCCTTTGGCATCATGCTCTTCTATTTTCCTCCCTCTTTCTGTCCTCTGACCATCTCTGTCTCTTCTCTTTCTGAGCAGCTGTAACAGCAGGATGTGTGTTAGTGAAACAATAGTCAGAGTATCCAGATGGCCAGGAAACAAGTCCAAGGAAGACAAAAATCAGCATCCACTTCCTTACTACTTCATTTCACTTCCTTCCCGTTGGCAACATACTTTTCTTCTTGCTACAATTCCTGGGAAAGAGGGAGAGAATTTCCCTTTTTCCACTTTGAATTTAATTGGGACAGAATAGTACCCCAAACTTCAGTGCCTTGTGGGACAATCAGAATCTTCAGGTTAACTGTCAAACTATTCTACGCCACATTCCCCCTCAAATAAAGAAGCTTAGTCTCTGTCTTACTGTCTTGTGGATTTGTAAATGTGCTTTGCTGTGAGACAGTAAGCTCAGCTGAGTTGATGCTGCTGTATCGTGGGATTGTGCAGGGCACCTGTCTAGACTGGCCTGCTTGCTGTAATCTAATTAGTAGTGACTTTATTGAGGGCTGAAGGAGCGGCGCAGTGCAACGTGTGGTTCCCAGCCTTGCAGCTTTGCTGTGATGTTGTGGTTGTGAGATAAACCATTAACTTCACAGAGCATGATCCCTCGGGGCTCTCTTTCGCAGAGGCAAAAATACAGCGGCCCTCAAAACTTCCGCGGAGGCCTCTTGGAAAATTAGCAAGCTTTTGAACACTTAGCTTTGTTGTTATCAACAGTGATTGCCCTAATCTTTTAAAACTCTTTTTATGGCACAGCAGTGTTTTTAGCAAACCCCAGCAATAGTTTAAGGCTGATTTTCTGCTGTATCAGTCACTCTTGTTTCCGTTTCTGTGTTCATAGGCCCCTGGCTTTGGGTTTGGCATCGCTATCTCAGGTGGGAGAGACAACCCTCATTTTCAGAGTGGAGAGACGTCCATCGTCATATCTGATGTTTTAAAAGGAGGACCTGCCGAGGGTCTGCTGCAGTAAGTTGTAGACCTGCAGTCATCAACTCCGGTTCAGAATCATGCTGAACCATAATGTTTTATTTTCCTAACACGACATTTAATTTTTGATAGGAGCTTAACCTAATTCATTTATTGTATTTTGTATGGGTGTCAGCTATCTTGAATGTTGCCCATGGAATAATATAAATGAGTCATGTATTTTTAGTTAATAGGATTTAATTAATTTCTTTCTTTTCAGAGAAAATGATAGAGTTGTGATGGTCAATGCAGTCTCTATGGACAATGTAGAGCACGCATATGCTGTTCAGCAGCTTCGCAAGAGTGGAAAAAATGCAAAGATTGTAAGTTCAATGTGAAATATGTACTCACAGTGAACTACAGGACACACGAGGTGTGTCTGAGGTGATCGAAAAATTGTTTAACAAGCTAAATTATGTCCTCTTCCCAAGACTATTCGTCGGAAAAGGAAGGTACAAATCCCAGTGTCTCGACCAGGAGACAGGGAGACAATGTCTGAGCATGAAGAGGAGGACAGTGACGATGAAGACGGTTACGAGCACCGCAGTGGTCGAGGTGGTCAAAGTGCCTATGGAGGCGCGAGCGGAGGTGCAAACAAGCGAGAGCGTAGCAACAGCGGGAGGAGGGATCACAGTGCCTCACGGGAGAGGAGCATCTCACCGCGGTCTGATCGACGATCACAAGCCTCGACAGCTCCAGCCAAGCCCGCCAAGGTCACCCTCGTCAAATCCCGCAAAAATGAAGGTGAGCCTATAAATTCAGAACAGATGCTTTGTTGCTCTGGGTTATGGGTTTTGCCAAAAAAGGTTGCTTGGTTATTTTAATTGCTGCATACTGCATAGTTTTATTTTGATTGTTAAGTCAAATAAGTGGTCAGATAAACACCCCCTGTTGATATTACTTTGTTGTTCTACTCACCTTTGAAAACAGAATATGGGCTGCGGCTTGCCAGCCACATCTTTGTGAAAGATATCTCTCCAGAGAGCCTTGCTGCCAGAGACGGAAACATCCGGGAGGGAGATGTTGTTCTTAAGGTCAGAGAAAAGACGGAACTTTTTGCTAGCGGGGCCAATAGGGCTTCGCTCTGAGTAGAAATGGATCAAACTGATCTGCCAAAGGTAGCTTCAAGAGCGCAGTCACATTTGATTAGTGTGCAGGCTCACCAACAGGGATACCAAACATTTATTCCCAGCTTCTGACATCCCTAAACATGTTGCCTGCCCCGCTGCTGCACATGTTAAAGACACACTCGGGTTGTGATGGTAGTGAGTGTGTTAAATTGTTGGGCTTAACTCCTTTTCCTCTGGTAGATCAATGGCACCGTTACAGAGAACCTCTCGCTGATTGATGCCAAGAAGCTGATTGAGAGGTCAAAGGGCAAGCTTAAGATGGTGGTGCAGAGAGATGAACGAGCCACGCTGCTCAACATTCCTGACCTTGATGACAGCATCCCATCAGCCAACAACTCCGACAGAGACGGTGAGACAGCGCATGTGTAGTTACTGTGCGGTTGCAAGCAGCTACTTTTGGATTAAACCCTTTTAAAAACGTTTTTAGTTTGGGAGAGGAATTCAAAGACCTGTTTGGTTGATTCCCGTCACGTTAATGTCATTGATTAAATGCTAATATGCGCTCTATTTTTCATTTCACAGACATTTCAGAGATACATTCACTGACATCTGAGCATTCTAATCGATCCCTTGGGAGAGGTCGATCACGTTCACCCGAGAGGCCCGAAACAGTGGACCACCTCCGCCACTCACCCCGTCAGATGAGCAATGGCAGGTAGGCGAAGCGCTCACACACTCATCTCACTGCAAATCTGGTAATGGGACACGGCTGTCACACATGACTCGAGCCTACGTCCATACCCCCACCCACTCCATACATCATGTTCACACCCACAGGTGAGTGGGTGCTGAGTAAGCACCTTGCTGCTCTAACTCATCAATCAATATACAGAGACATAACATGCATAAACCATCGCACTCCCTGTAGAGCCATCAATAAGTTCCAATAACGGCTTTCTCTGGGAGGGAACAGCAGAGGGGAGGTGGCATCGATCCATTTCCTGTTAGACTAAGGACTTGTTTTGAAAGTCTGCCCATGCAAAGCTAAATACATTTAGTATTGAACACCACTTCACTCACATTCAGTAGTTACCAACATGTTTGAGAAATATTAACAGCATCATATCATCAGTACACTCTCTTCATAGTCATCAGCCCATTACTGGTTTGAGCTTTCCTATAGTTGATTCTTCTTAGTTAGTTAGTAAAGGCTGCTTTCCTTTGCTTTGTGGCTAACATGTACACTGTTAAAGAGAGCTAACAGAGAGAATAAATTACATGTTGCGCTTGGACGCTGACTAGATTTTACAGAGCAACTGAAAAAAGAAAAAATGACAGGATGCGTTCCTGGTTTTTGTGAAGAGTTTGAGATTTTTTTTCCCCCAATGCTGTTCAGTGTTGAAACAGGGCCAACAAACACTATCACTGTCTTATATAATCAAAACTCAGTTTCTTTATGCTTGCTGTAGCCTTGAGCAGCAGATAAATTGGGCCACGGTAACAAAACCAAAACACTGATAACGGGGCCCTGTTTTTACACAGACCTTCAGATGGACAATCAAGTGAGGAGGTTGTTTTTGTGTCACTTATTGCAACAGTCATTTCTGGTAAGATAATGGAAGTTTTCCTCAAACTTCTCGCAGTTTGTTTGCGGTGGTATGTGTGCCAGTTTCATCACCAGAACAAAAGCAAATGTTAGTCGTTAGCTGAACTAAAGGGACACACAATCTACAGCAGCTGTTGCTGCTCTCTGATGCAGATCCACTGTGCTGCTGCTTGTTAAACTGGCTTTTAGTTGCTTGTCAGTCATATTTTTGGAGTAGATTAACCTTGAGTGCAGCCGCGTCATTAGATGATACGTTGTGTCACGCTGTGGATTTACCATACTTGTTTGGATGCAGGATGAGGGCACTGCTGCACAGATTGCTCTCAGGGAAAGTGACTGCATCCGTCTAACAGCAGGCATGTGCGTTTGTTTCCAGCACTTGTCACTGCAAGAATTTGATGGCTTCATCCCTGCCCCTGCTTTTCATCACCGGCTGTCAACTCTAAGCGTTTAGAGCCTTATTTTCTCATTCTTGTTCATGTGCTATTTGATATAACAGGTAAATCTGTTTAGCTTTCTAATAGCGATGCTTGGAGTTACGCCTTGTCTCATGTGATTGTTTTTTAGGAAGTAATTGAGTGACTATATGCTTTAAAAGAATGCTTTGCTATCTCACTGGTTGGGAGGGGCAAAAGGAATTTGACATAATTCCCACAGTGCTTTGCCCCAGACCAGATGGTGGGTTGAACTTGATTGGCTAAAAAGGCTTTGGGGTATTTTGTATTTTTTCCCCCTGGGGCACAAGGCTGGTGCAGGTTTTTTGATACAGCAGATCACCAAAGGTCCCCCAGCTTCCTGTTTAGTTTGTCAAGGACTAAAGATAAAATCATCTTGATAAGCATCATGGTTCAGTTTACAGGGGCTGTTATGTAAGTAGCTAATTTTTCTTTTTAAATGATTTAATAGTTTTTAATCTTGATGCTCATTTGGTTGGCCTTTTCTATTTAAAACTATATATGTATGTGCGTTTGTGTGTTGGTGTTTAGGTACTTTTTCTTTTAGACTTAGGGCTTTTTTTTATTTTCTCCTGCTGGAGTTGTGGAGTTATTTTCGCATCTACTCGTGAGTAGTCAGTGTCAGAGCAATCTTGAGTCTGGAGGACCAGGAGGGGATTCTGTTACTGAAGCAAACTGAGAGGTGTTGAGGTGGTTCATCATTATTATTATTATTATTATTATTATTATCATTATTTCTGTTAATTTCTACTGTTTAAATGTTTTCTGCAGACTACTTGTTTTCAGTGCAGTTTCGGATCTCACTGTGTAGCCACTTCTCTCCTTCACTCTTTCACTTTCTCACTTACATGCTTTTTTTTCTGTACCCACACAGTTGAAACGTGTGAGGGGATGGAACAGAGGGTTCTGTCAAACGGCATTTGTCATTGAGACTCCTTTTTTAGCACTGAGCTGCAGCATGGAGCAGAAGATTTAGGCCACACTGCGCTGCCCCTTTCTGTTGCTTGCCCCTGCTCTGTTTGCCTGTGCCCCCCCCCCCCTCACTCTCACTCTTCTTTCACATTCATTAAGTGCTTCTCTTTCGTCCATTTCAATTATGTCACGTATACTCAGGATGTAGTTCACCCTTCTCTGTCCAGTCCTCCTCTCTGATGCGGATTCATTCTGCTTGTATAAAACAGATGAAGGTGAATTGTAAACCTGCATTGTATTGAGAACTTCCAGATGCACCCAGGGGCCCAAAAAAAAAAAAGCCAAACTTGGTGCAAAGTGTTGTAAATAAGTGCCGCAGCTGCACTACTGTCAGATTCTAACTTTAGTGTTGATTAGAAGTGCAATAATGAAAGTCAATACACTAGATATTTTTACCTTGCAGTGTTTATTTTTTTTATCCTATCAGAGCTTGAGCAAAGCTTGGCTGCCTGCACTGGTGGAACAGCGTGCACCTTCATGTTCTAGTCGAAGAGCTTTTCAATACAGCAAAAGTACTGTTGCAGCAGGCAGTTATGTGATCAGATAGGAATTCAGCCATTGTTTTAGGCTGCAGAGCTTTCTATCCCATAACCAGCCAGACTAGCATACAATTTTCCCCTATTTATTTTATCCAGGTTAAACAGGAACTTGGACTGAAAAGTATCTTAAGTCAGGAGTTTGTTTTGGGAGCCTCAAGTCTGATTTATCTTTTTCCCTCTGCTTTTACTGGCAAGGTTACTGGATGGAATATGAAACCCAAGGTTTTATCAGTCTTTGTACTATGGGGCATAGTTTTTGGCTGTGTTGACTTATATTAAACTTAGTTACTCTCTGGTAGAAGTATGATTTGTATCCCATAAACTGTCAAGAGATCAGGCTTTGAAAACTAAAATGAAAAGGAGTCTGCATGCTTACAAAAACACGACTGTGAACCGGTGTTGAATGCGAAAGCTCTGTTTGCCCAAGACGCACATCCTTCTTTTAATTGCTTATTGTTTTTTCTTTCAATTTCTTCCCCACGTGCCCTGTGACGTAGACTGTGTTCCATACAGTTTCCTTTAGGGTTTGTTTTCTTTCTTCCTTGTAGTGGGGGCACAGAACAAAACCACTAACAAAGACGACAAGGTCATTTTTAACAACCTAAAAGAAGAGTTTCTCTCATTTAAGGAATGTGTGAGTTTTACTGCCAGTCCACTCATTCTGAACTGCTTTTCCCCTCTTGGTTATTGCAGTCATCGAAGTAGAGACGAGGAACGTATGTCCAGACCGGGGGCTGTTTCCACACCAGTCAAAAGTTCAGATGATGGTGTGTTGTCTCAGGCCAGCGACCAGGCCAGCTCCAGCGACAAGCCTCCTCTGCCAGGTACAGAAAGAGACCATCTTGCCATCGGCAAAAAACACTGTAGTTAGATCACAAAGAACCACTCCCTCATTGTATATATTTAAATGCAAGACAAAGAAAAGTTCACGTCTTTGCTTTTAGGTTAGATGTTTTTCTGTTTCATTAATTAAACCGTTAAAATATGATGAGACAGTTTTGTAATGCACTTAGCATTTTGTGTGTTTCCATTTTTTTTCCAGAACCAAAGCCAGTTTATGCACAGCCCGGTCAGCCTGACGTGGACCTTCCGGTGAGCCCGTCTGATGCACCTGTCCCCAGCGCTGCTCATGATGACAGCATTCTCAGGTAAATGTCCCAGCTGTTCCCCGAATCATACCAGTATGAGAACAGGTCTGAACAGTAGCCGCACATAGTGAAGCACACACACTGTTTTCTCTAATAACAGTTTGCTGTGCTCGTCTCGTCGGCTCGAATTCTTTTGGATCTCAGAATGATTGTTTTTAAATCCACGATTTGCTGACCTTTTCTTTTTTCTGTTTTACTTAACTCTGCTTGTTTATCGCTGTTTTCCTGCAGGCCAAGTATGAAGCTGGTCAAGTTCAAGAAGGGAGAAAGTGTTGGTCTGCGGTTGGCAGGAGGGAACGATGTGGGAATTTTTGTGGCTGGAGTCTTGGAGGACAGTCCAGCAGCCAAGGAGGGGCTAGAGGAAGGAGACCAGATTCTCAGGGTATGCTATCTCTTCTCTTCTATTTTCCAAAACCTAACTTGTTTTTAACATCACCTCAGTTGTTTATTCGATCATCATTGGAGGATCACGAGAATCTTTTTGTACAGTTCAAATTGTTCTTGTTCTGTCCCTCATTTGGAGAAGTGGGTAGAACATCTGTTTCTACTGTGAAAAATAGGCAAGACCTAGCTTCCCACATTGTCACAGATAATAAGTGGTAAAACTATGTTATTCGTGTCCACAGTAGATAAACTTCTGTTCAAACAGATCTTGGGAATACAGCACAATCCATCTGGCAGCTTATGAGTCATTCCCAAGCACTGCCTCACGTCAAAACTCCCCTTGTTTCAAGCGTGAAGACACAATGGAGGCCGTTCATGCATTCTGACCTCAGAACAGTTGACTGTTTCTGTCAGTGAACACTAGTGTAACTTTGTTATCGTGGATGATGGAAGCCCTCTTGATGTCAGCGTTGGATCCATTTATACTACAGTGCAACACCTGCTGGGAGGCTGACCCGTTCGACTTGTACCATGCAACTGGTCAAGTATTTAGCTGAACATACGTGAAACTAACAGTTTATATTAGAAAGAAATCTGCCCAGTTTATAAACTCATTTTCTTAACAAATACACACAAGTGTACACTCCAGATCTCCCTTTGTGCCTGTGTCTGTTCCCTCATAGTATTACATCTTAGAGACTTCCAGGACATTGTTTTCCATCCTTAGGTGGTTTCCCTTTGGTCACGGTGTGCTTGTGGAGATAAAGACGTCAAGCCCTTCTGTTTCTGGGAAGGATAAAGGTGTCTTTTTGAGGTCCAGTGACCCAGACCATGTGTTTCTGATTCCCCTGCTGCCCCTCAAGCAAAGTCAATAAACAGCAGTTATTGTGATTCAGACAGCAGCTGGAAACCAGGGCGGGAAGCTTTTCAGCTGAACAGGAATATTTGACACTGCTTTAGTTGATATTATTTCTTTAAGTGGAGCTAAAATGACTTTTTCCAAAAGTTAAAGATGTTTTCCATTGTTAAAGATTCAGGGAAGTTGTCATTTTTCCTAATGCTGTCCAGGCCAATAGCGGCAATTCAAATTCACTTCTTCTGCCCCTGTTTCTGCAGGTGAATAATGTGGACTTTGCGAACATCATCCGAGAGGAGGCCGTGCTGTTCTTGCTGGATCTCCCGAGAGGAGAAGAGGTTACTATTCTGGCACAGAAGAAAAAGGACGGTGAGTGATTAGTTATAAATGCATGTAAACTCAACGTACACATTTTATTGGGTACTCAAATCAGCTGTTGATTTTCAGTGTATCGAAGGATCGTGGAATCGGATGTAGGGGACTCCTTCTACATCCGAACACATTTTGAATATGAGAAAGAATCTCCATATGGACTCAGCTTTAACAAGGGGGAGGTGTTCCGCGTAGTAGACACACTCTACAATGGAAAATTAGGTTCTTGGCTGGCTATCCGCATTGGGAAAAACCATCAGGAAGTGGAGAGAGGAATCATTCCCAACAAGAACAGGTAAAATATTTCTTGGGGCACACCTTTAATGCCTACAAAGCTCATTCTGCAACTTGGTGAATGGGCCAGGCTGCTGGACAGGAATCTGAAGCATTACAGTGATTTGGATACGATTAAAGAAACATTTTAAAGCAGTGAGCACATTTTTCCACATTCATGCTCTATATTATAATACACTTTTCTGGAAAGTATCAGTTTTTGTGTTTTTATGACCAGGTAAACATTTTGACACATGCCTCCAAACTGCTGTTGAATGATCCATGGGTTTAAACTACATTTTCATCCGGCAGACTGCATCTGGGTCTGTCTGAATCGCCTTTGGCAGTTTTTTTCAGAGATTCTTCACTGTCTGCTGACAGAGGGGAAAAAAGCTTTTTATTTGCTGCTTCTATTTTTATCACAATCATCCAGCTTTATGGAATATATCACTAGCTCCCTGCCACATTAACCCCTTCAAAGAATAAAATCAAGAGCTGAAAATATTTTTCCAGACATCAAAGAAAGAATTTGAGCTTTTCAGATATACTTAGCCCCGCAATCCTTACCTCATATCGCTGTTGGTTTCAAGTCATTCTAAATGTAAATTTTATCGACTCCTCTGCCTTGATCTAATCACATAAATTATAGAAAAGTGATACTGCATGGATAGCCTTTTTCATCGATTCAGGTGGTTCAAATCAGCAATGGTGCATAGTCAGTTTCGCCTTACTATTACTCTAGTAAGGCTACACTTTACATTTTAAAGCAAAGAGTTTACACTTTAAGATTCAAGTGCATGTGCTGTTAACAGTCTAATGGGCCTTTATTTGAAAATGCTTTTCATAATAACTTATATCACTGTCATCCAGCCACGCAACAATATACAGAATATAAGTCACTGGATGCTGAAGCTGTCAAAACACCCACAATGCTTTAGTAGATGTACATGAAGGCTCTGTCGCCATGTTTGATCTAAACAGTAACCGAATTTAGGTGAGGAATTTTTTGCGTGGTTAGTAGTTTGGTCCAAAATCCTGACATCTGACCTTAGACCTGCTCCTCCCTGTTCAGAGCTGAACAGCTGTCCAGTGTGCAGTACACCCTCCCCAAAACACCAGGGGGGGACAGGGCCGACTTCTGGAGATTCCGTGGGCTGCGAAGCTCCAAGAGGAATTTGCGAAAAAGCAGAGAAGACCTGTCAGCCCAGCCAGTTCAGACCAAGTTTCCTGCCTACGAGAGGGTTGTGCTGAGAGAAGGTAGGAGCACAGAAGTCTGAGCGCTTCTGTATATATTTTTTATACCTCTTCCCCTATTGCAAAATAGATCAAAGCTTTGTCCCATAGCTTTATGTGACCAGTAGATTCAGTTCTTCAAAAAAGTTGTGTGTAGCCTGTGTAGTTTGATGACTTCATTCTCTTCCTTCTCTCATTTATACTTAATGCTCTCTGTGACATTTTAATGAACCCACATTTATGCATTGAACATATCAGAAATTACCCACTGATGTGTGTAACGAGCACTCTCCATGATATGGTCTTGTTTGAGTACAGCTGGGTTCCTGAGGCCTGTGGTTATCTTTGGGCCAATAGCAGACGTGGCCAGAGAAAAACTTGCCAGGGAGGAGCCAGACATTTTTGAACTAGCAAGTAAGTAATGAAGCACCCATCTTCCACCATTTAATATTCATGTTTAGCTGTCTGTGTCTTGGATTGAGACCAGACTCTTAATTTACACATTGGTAAAACGGAGGGAGGTTTATCTCCACACCAAGTCCTTACAGGAGTGCTTAGTAGCTTATAAATGTGGAGCTGCTCTATTAGATCTGCGTCTCTGTTTTTGTTCCTCACATTTGAAAAGAAATCTAAATGTTGCTCTTCGCCCTTTTAGAGACTGACGTGCTCTTTGAAGCGATTGCAGTAGAAAAAAGGTCATGTTCTTGATGTGTGTACATTTTCCTCCGGGAGGTCTATTTTTAGCTTTGCTACATTTTATTCGATTAACATAAAACTGTGAAGTATATATTTTTATATTCCAGAAAATGTTTTCAACTTGAGGAAAATCTAAACAGCCATGGTGTTGGCTATTTGAAGCCATTATGACATATTTCTGAGAGGGACATCAGGCACCACTGTCACAAATTTCCCTCTGTCCTTGTAGGCTGCATTATACTTTAGTAGCTTTTTGCTGCATTATCACTTTTAATCCTGTGCAACATATACAAACGCCTTCCGGTTATTTTTCAAACAGAACGGCATAAATCTCTCTCTTCCAGGAAGTAGTTATTCCCTGTTTCTCCTGTTCACATTCTCTCATCCTTCTTCTGCTCATCAGCGAATCTTTCAGATTCCAGACTCGAGCAGAACTAAATGTTCAATTTGAATTCTTTCCTCGTCCACCTCCTCTTGCGTATTGAAATTGCAAACAAGTAAAATATGTGTTTTTTCTTTTAACACTCAGCATTGAATTTGAGTTAGCTCAAGTGTTCAACCGCACATGCCATAGCAACTGAAAACACATTCACCACACCCACAAATCAAGTATTTCCATTCATTGATGTTTATTTGCACAACTCCAGTGATGTTTATGTGACTGTATTTTCTTTTCAGAAACACAGCAACAACAAGGAGGGGAAAGTATGTCACTTAGTGCATAAACTATTTTTGTTTCATTTGATTCCGTGAATGACAGATAATACCTATAAAAGTGTTTGGTGCCCTGTTCCCTATTCTGTTGATGTTTAAACAACAGCCATTGCTTAGTTGATTCATTTTGGGGAGTAGCACTAAATTTAAGTAACATCTCACACTCATTACATTCCTGCCGTGAAAACAAGTCTTGCAAAACTCAAATGAAATGCAAAACTTCAAAAATTGGATGTCATACTGACACACAGCCAGTGTTCCAAAGGCATTAAGATGCACTCGAGACTTTAGTTGGTAAGAGGTCAAGTCCTACAACTGGGCTGTTGCGTATCATACCAGTGAAAACAATGCAGTTCAAGAATGAAAGAAATCTTGCGTGAAAGTCAGGTTTTGAAGACATTTGGCAAGATGTCAACACTGATCAACAAGCACTTTGTCTGTGGAATTTGTGAATGTTCTGGATGTGATGAAATTGTAGCTGATGTGAATAATGAACTTTTGTCAGGCCCCCTGCATAGAGACACTGTTGTTGTGTGTCATTGTGACGTCTTTTGTTTTTAGAGGAGATAATGCTATGCTAGATATGCTAGTGAATGTTCAAAAACACTTTGCTCCATTAAGTAATGATTGTACTATTAAATTCAGTGGTATTCCCCTACTTATCATGGATTTCATGTAGAATGACAACAGCGAGGCTGCATGTCAGCTGTAAAATAAATCTCCTGTAGGGACTGAGATAAGGGTAATTTGCGTTTAAATAAAAAAGGGAATGACAGCCATTACAGCTCTACCAATGCTGACTTTTATACTTACTTTCTTATGAAGATGTCGACCTTTTATTTCCCTGTTTGCCCCAAAAGTAACATCACTTAAGATGTGGAAGCACATAAGTATGGCATGAAGTACTTGTTCAAGTAGATGATGGCCATATTGTAAAATACAGTACAGTCAGATTTTAAAAAGGCATGGGACCAAAATCTTATGAAAATGTGATCCGGATGGTCACTTTTTGGTGCAAAGTTTTAAGGCTGCTTTGAATGTGAGACTGGGCTTTAGCTGTGTGTGGTAATCCCCATTTAGACATCGGATTGTGTGCTAAACCGACAGCATCTTTGTGTGATTCTGCCCATCACAGTTTTCGTAATGCGGTGATGGACATGTGGTCTCAGGAGTCTAAATCACCGTTAAAAAAGTCACTCTGAAAATTGGATAGAAAACAGACATTATTGGGGCCCAACATTTCTGCATATGCTTGAACCTCCGCATGCATGGCTGTATTTATTTGCTTTTTTATAAAAAATGCCCACATTTTATGACACCTTTCTGACAGTGTTTGCAGAGCATAGGTCCCTTCAGAACAAAAAATAAATAAATAGCCCTGCCTCATTCTGTGTTTGAGCCCCTTACCATACTCCACACCCTTGTGGGTTGACATCCCTGATTTGAACCTTGTGTTTCTAGGCAGGAAACCAATGCTCATGGATTTAAAACCCTTCTTCACATCCTTGGTTAATTCCCTGAGGTTTTTACAATGACAATGTAGTCTCATTAATCCCAAGTGACCCTTCTGTTTTTGTATGTGCATATTTGATGCCAATATTCCTCACATAACACATTTCCTGCACTATTTTCAATACTGCTACATGCACTTGAACACACATATGCATAAAACACTAAATTTCATTCCCTAATCCCACCTAAAATACCTAACGAATTGCATGAATTGGCTGCTGTCCTCATTTTGTATGTATTATGGAGCTCTGTTCATAAACGTACACTTGTCCTCTCCTATACAGAGATTATTGTTCTGTATTTAACTGCTCTATTTATGGGAGTCGACAACTGCATGCTACGAGGATGCCTAATTGGGGCACAGCCTGCTGTGTTTATTGTTGTTGGTCTCTTGTATTGACGTGATGCAGTGACTGTCCATTTGTCTTCCATAGAGAGCGAACCAAGGGATGCGGGAACGGACCAGAAAAGCTCTGGCATCATTCGCCTCCACACCATCAAGCAGATCATTGACAGAGTGAGTAAAACTAGATGTTCACGTCTTATATAGAGATCAAAGTACCTTCTGAGGTATTGTTTTGCTCATAAAACAGATGGTGAGGGAGCACAGTAACGTTCACAGCTCACTGCCGCCCTCTGGTGTGCAGCTTTCATCATCAACCTCGGCAAAAGTCATAATAGGTCATTTTTAGAAAAGATTGAATCAGTTTAGCTCAAAACTGCCTGTACAGTGTGGGGAAAATGAGTGTCCCTGATTTGACGAGATTACTACATTTTAAACCAGCTTTATCAGCTTCCATACAGCTCAGCACATGAGCAATAAAGCAGTAACAACCCATGTGCATTTCTGTTTTCTGAAGGACAAGCATGCAGTGCTGGACATCACCCCCAATGCAGTGGACCGGCTGAACTACGCTCAGTGGTATCCGATCGTCGTGTTCCTCAATCCAGACACCAAGCAGGGCGTCAAGAACATGAGGACCCGGCTCCTCCCAGAGTCAAGGAAGAGCGCAAGGAAGCTCTTTGAGCGAGCCCTCAAGTTAAGGAAGAACAACCATCACCTTTTCACCAGTGAGTCAAGAATGTTTCCAGCTTCGTATCCCAAAGATTTCTTCTTTCCTTCCGTAACGCTCTGAGGGAAACCAGCTCAAACAGTCATCTTTTTTTCTTGTACCATATTATAAATTAATAAGATGTGTGAGGTACACTGGAGGAACACAGGAAAACTAAGATATTAAACATTCAGAACATTTAAAATGGCATATTACTTACGGATCACATTACTTCCCTAAAACGAGTTTCTGATTCTGACGATATTGTTATACGTAATTATTCAGAATTGTTGTTTCTCGTTTGATTGTTGAGATTTTCCCTTTTTGCTCTCCTCCTGTTTAATCAGCAACCATTAACTTGAACAGCATGAATGATGGTTGGTTTGGAGCACTGAAAGAAATAATCCAGCAGCAACAGAACCAACTGGTATGGGTTTCAGAGGGCAAGGTAGGACTGATGCACATGCGCACGTACACACAAACAGTTTAAATGATGTTTGGTTGCATTTACTTCACTTCAGTCTCATTTCCTTTTTCCCCGCTTAGGCTGATGGAGCCACTGAGGATGACCTGGACATCCATGACGACCGCCTTTCCTACCTATCGGCACCAGGTAGTGAGTATTCCATGTACAGCACTGACAGTCGCCACACCTCCGACTACGAAGACACAGACACAGAGGGAGGAGCCTACACTGACCAGGAGCTGGACGAAACGCTGAATGACGATGTGGGTCCACCCGCTGAGCCGGCCATCACCCGCTCCTCGGAGCCCGTCCGCGAGGACCCGCCTGTTATCCAGGAGCCTCCCGGCTATGCTGGCTACCAGCACACGGTGCAACCGGACCCCCTGAACCGCATCGACCCAGCTGGGTTCAAGGCACCCGCGCCGCAGCAGGTAGCGTTTCTGAGAGCTGTACGTCTCCCCTGTTGTCTGGAGGACGTGGTGTGCGTTAGGAGGGTTTTCTGGAGGCGCTATTGAAAGCCCCTTTTTCCTTTTAAAGCTTCTCTGTCTATCTCCTCTTACAAAACGCTGTCAGTGAGAAAGTGCTAACTTTTTTGGTCAGGTATTTGTTCCAGTATACATATATATATACATATACATATATACATAAATTATATAAAATATATAGAAAGATTTATTACTATATTTATTTTATCTATTTACCCATGTGTGCTTGCTGATCGATGTTTGTTAGTGTATCGGGTGTTTGTTTGTTTTTTTTAAAAAGAGAAGAACTTGACCTGGTTTCCTGCTGCTGCTGTTCTCTGTATTTACCGCAAAGCTGTCTTAACAGTCTGATTGTTACTAACTACAGTGGAAGAAAAAACTAAAGAAAGGAAACACATATATTTATTTGTCTCTGTACCAGTACTCACCTATGTGCACTTTGTTCTGCCTATAATTGGGACTTTGGCAATACGACACTAGAAAGTATTATGTGCATGTTGGAACTGCCAGTGTTAATGCAGTGTACTTGTGAATTGTGTTCATCAATACTCAATTGGCAATTGTGATATCCAATTCAAAGAGTTTGTGGTCTAACCATGTGTTAACAAGCATTAACGGGGGAACGAACAACTAACTGTACTGTAACCATAGAATTAAAATGAAAGTAGTATTGTCCAACTATGAAAACTTGTCCTGCTGCTAATTCCTAACTCTTGCATGCCATCGGTCTATCTACAGCCAGTGGTAAATCTGGACATGGGTTGTTTTCCCAGTGTTAGGCTGCTGTGTTTTGAGGGGTGGAGAAGGTGGTAGCTTTTGTTAAAAATTAACCACAGCAGGTCAGCGCTTGTTATTAAACATTTCTGAACCACTTCACAGAAAGCAGAGGCCGCAGCCACCCCTAGCATCTCCAAGCAGCCCGAGCCCCTGGCTGTGGCCGTGCCCCCTGCTGTCGACGTTACTGTAAAATCTGTAGGCGGTCTGAGCCCAGATGAGGCTCCTGCAGCTCCTTACAGCAAGCCGAGCCCCATCCACGAGGCTGGCTCACTCAGGAGGCCTACGCCTGAGCTAGCCCCTCAGAGCGTCACGCCAGAACCTCTACAGTCTGGACTGGCCAGTTCAGAACCAAAGGTATCCATCTGATCATCACCGGAAGCTTCGTGACCCGGCTCGGTTCGGCTCGGCTCGGCTCGGCTCAGCTCGGTCTGATCTCCTGTGCTGCTGCTGCCTGTCTACCTACCTCCTGCTGCCATGCTTTTCTTTCTCTCTATTTCTGCCCTGCATGTCTGGCCATAGGAGACAGAGATGTGTGTTTGTGGGCGTTTGAGTCTGTGTGAAAGCCATTGCTGGTAAACAACAGTGGGCTTGGAGATGGTGGGGGGGGGCTGGCCTGATGTGCATACTCGTTGAAGAGCAGGAAAACTCCTGCAGCTTTCACTGTTGCTTATCTTCTTTGCATGGCTGCAACATATTTGCATCATTCTCTGTTTACTACTTGAACTTTTATCTGTGGGTCCTTTATTTGTTATTGGTAACTGATTCAATCATTTTGTTGTAAAAGTAGCCATTTGCTTTCCAACCTTTTACCTATACTTGCATGTAGCTACATGCATGTAACAACTAAACCGAGATCTTCTTCACTTTTGGATGGATTGTTAATGGTTACTTCTGAACTAAACCTGCTTTAAGTTGTTATTTATATTTCCTTTTTTTAAATGAGTGATTGTATTTCTGAATATTATTGTGGATATTTGTTTTTGTTTTGTTTTTTTGTGTTTGCACTAAAATAGTGGGTGACATTTTTTTTGTTGCTGCACGTGCAGATTTGCATGTGTCATGTTTAAAAAACCCAGAAATAATCTGGCTAAGTTAGCAGTATTGTGTTATCTGCTATCTTTCTGTAAAGACAAGAAAAATGGATCCCATTGTTTTGTTGTAACCTTTAAAACTTTCTAAATCTTTCTTTCATTTTGGGGTTTAATTTGAAGTGGCAGTGGTCCCTTTGTGATGTTTTCAAGCTTCAACATTTGGATGTGCTGGGATATCCGTTTGTTCTAAAATATATTCTGACTAGTAACCTCGCCCTCTCAGTTTCTCTATTTCAGGTCTTTCCTTCCTGTTTTCTCCTCTGCAATTAATTTAATGGAATTGTTTTATTGTTTTCAATTTTCCAACTGATGTCTGACTGTGCAGTTTTTTCATACTACATATTTCTATCGTGTGCAACATATCAGAGAAGTCTGCTCAGTTCTGACACTTTTTTCATTGTGTATTTGTTCGGTAGATGTTCCAGAAGGATCCTTATGGCATGGACAACACAGGAAGAATCGGAAACAGCGTGAAGCCTGGGACATACAGTCCACAGCAGGCATATCACCCTGACCAGCAGCCATACAGAGATTATGACCATCCACCTAATCGCTACGACGTCAGCAGTGGCGGTGGTTTCCCAGAATCAAAGTACCGGAACTATGATCCTAACCCTCCCTTTGAGAACAGTGTGCCTCACTATGACCAGCAGCAGTGGAACCCCTACAGCCAGCCGCACCCTACTGCCAATTCCCAAGCTTATGATCTTCGTTTGCCTTATGGTGATGGCCCTGACCCCCAGTACACCCCTCCGATGCGCTACGACGAACCCCCACCAGCACAGGGATTCGACGGACGTCCTCGCTATGGTAAACCAACGGGTCAAGGACCCATGCGTTATGACGACTTCCCGCCCCCCACTCCAGAGTCTGATCTACACTATGACCAGGATCCTCACCTAAGCACATATCCTCCAGCTGCCCGCTCCCCAGAACCCGCCGCCCAGCGGCCTGCCTACAACCAGGGACCAGCATTGCAACCGAAAGGCTTTAAACCTCAACAATATGACCCCGCTCCTGTGAACTCTGAAACCAGCCTCACGCCTCCTCCTAAGGCAGAAGCATCCTCACCTTCCCCTGTAGATGCTCCAAAACCTGCAGCTAAAAGAGACGAGCAACAGGAGGATGACCCTGCCATGAGGCCCCAGTCAGTTCTGACCCGGGTCAAGATGTTTGAGAACAAACGCTCTGTGTCCGTGGACCGAGCCAGAGATACAGGGGATTCGTCTGGGCACAGGGTAAACTGATAGACTTTATACATATGCCGTTACAGAAGGGTTAACCCTTCACTTTTGTATCTAACATTCTTCATTTATTTTTATTTTACTATAATTTTTTTTAGAACCTATGTAGAGAAAACATTAATTGGTTGGCCTTTGTCCCTACTAATTAGATGTGTTCCTTTTTGTTGCTTAAGGCTGCTGATTTACCTTTGAAATCAGGGGGCGTGATCCCTAAAGCAAACTCTCTCAGCAACCTGGATCAAGAAAAGACCTTTAGGTAAGCTTGCCTTTGCGTTATTCTAATTCTGTTCTCATTCTCTGGCATTAAAATTGTGTCAACTTTGATTTCTCTCTCAATTTCTGTTCATTGTTATTCACAAACTCTTCCTTTCCTGTTTTGTTCAAATGTCTTTCTTTTTATCTTGTATTTTTACCAACCCAGAGCCCCAGAGCCTCAGATGCCTCAGTCTAAGGTGCCCGATGACATTGTGCGCTCCAACCATTACGATCCAGATGAGGATGAGGACTACTACAGGAAACAGCTGTCTTACTTTGACAGACTTCAAGCTGGCACCAGCAAACCTCTGCCACAAGCACAAACAACCCACAGCTTCCCCAGGTGAGGCCTGGTCCTGATGACCTCCTTTTGCTCTATTAAGTGCCTTTTCCTTTTTCCTCCCATGCTTAAGAGTTTTAATTTATTAATACTTCTTTCTTCCCGTTTGTTAGTGTTTTTATGTCTGTGTCTTAGAATGTTCTAGTTTGAATCTCATATTTGTATTTTTTCACACAACAATGTAGGACTGGGTCAGTGGACAGACCAAGTCCAGCAGAGAAAAAATATGAACCAGTTCCCCAAGTGACACCATCTTTGCCACCAGCCACACTGCCTAAACCCTCAACCGAAGGTACTGCTCTTTCTTTTAAGGAAACTGATTCTGAATCGTTGTACATCTCATATTGGATCACATACAGCTAAATATTCATAGTTTCTAAAGTATACGTGCAAAGTGCAGTTCAGAGATGTACACTGACCTGCTTGGCTTGTACACAGCCAAGCCGCCGGCCCGGGAGGACACTATCCAGACCAACTTCCTGCCTCACAAGAGCTTCCCTGAGAAGTCTCCAGTTAATGGCACAAGCGAACAGCCTCCAAAGATGGTTCCAGCCACTGGGGCTCCATCCAGCTACAACCGCTTTGCCCCCAAACCCTACACCACCTCTGCCAAGCCTTTTGCACGCATGTTCGACAGCCCCAAATTCAACCACAACCTTCTTCCCAATGACAAGCCTGAGAGTGCTCCAAAGGTAGGCATTGGGATTCAAAGATACAGAGGTGTACAGATATATACTAAAAAAACAACAACTTTCTTCTCTGGTATTTTATTTATTTCAGCCTAAATATTAGTTGTAGTAGTAGAATTGGTCTCTGTTTGCTGGGACGATCGACTCTGTTAAAAATCAAATTACATTGAATTCCTATCTGTTGGAACAGGGTCGGAGCTCCAGTCCAGTAAAGACTCAGATACCCCCACAGCCCCAGAACGCAGACCATGACAGTGGCCTGGACACTTTCACACGTACCATGGACCATCGCTCCAAATACCAGCAGAACAATGTCAACGCAGTGCCCAAGGCCATCCCCGTGAGGTAACTAACTCAGTCTGAGTCAGGATTACACCAAAGCTGCTGTGTGTACAGTGTTACAGGGAAACCTTTTGTCTCCCAGTCCCAGCGCCCTGGAAGATGACGATGATGAAGACGAGGGACACACTGTGGTCGCGACGGCTCGCGGGATCTTCAACAGCAACGGTGGTGTGCTGAGCTCCATTGAGACAGGTGTCAGCATAATTATCCCACAGGGTGCCATCCCTGACGGCGTGGAGCAGGAAATCTACTTCAAGGTCTGCCGAGACAACAGCATCCTGCCGCCACTCGACAAGGAGAAAGGTGAGTTGTCAATGAGGGAGGGATGAGAAGAGACACGGTGTTGCCTTTGTTCACATCTAAACTATCAGGGATCAGCCGTGCTGGGTTTAGTCCAGTAAAGTTTATATTTGCAAGGACTGCAAGAAGTTCTCCACTTGCAGAGAATCATCAGCTAAAACTGCACCGTCCTCTGGCTTTTCAGACTTGACTTCATCAATAACTCAGCAGGCAGCTGTTTATGCAAAATTCAGTGTGTACTCCCTGCTCAGCTTGAAGCTACACACAGACTACATTGCAGAACATTGTTGATAATTTAGCAGCTTCAGGGGCAGACATCTCCTTTGGGGCTTTGTAGACAAAAAGATGGTTAATATCGGGTGTAAACAAAAGTCCAAATGTGTGGTGCCGTTTTGTTGCATTTTGAATGTCAACCTGTGTCCTGGATGCATTTGATGACCAATTTCAAACTGAGGAGACAAATCAACACCACAACTTCACACTCTTCTCATGTCTGACAGTGGATTGTATCAGTCATCTTTTAGTACGATCTGCAAGCCTGTTGCCTTTTTTTTGGGATGTTTTTGTCCGTCCACTCCAGAAAAATACAGTACAATGAATGACAGCAAGTGGTAACACTGGATCTGGATGTAGTTTATATGAAGCACCCAAAAGGTAATAGCAGGTATATACTGAGGAGTATGTGCAACAGCCTTTGCAGACTTTACTTTACTTAACTTTACTAGAGCTTTGTGATACTTGTAATGTAGTTATGCGGTGAGTTCTAACCTTTGACTGTATTAGCTCAGATCTATACCACTGGTATAGATGGTTTTACTAACTGAGCTCCTAATCACATTTGTTAAACTTAAGTTGTGTGTGTGAGCAACATGTGCCATTAGGTTCTGTTGTGCTACAGTTACACTATAATCTGGTGCAAAAGGCATGTCCACGGCACTATAGACTGAGCCAAAGAAAGCAGCTGTGGAACCAACATAAGGTATATCGGGCCACAGCTTCATCTGTCAGAGGCAGGCAGAGCAGCTACAGCTGTGCCAGCAGCTGGATGCTGCAAAGCAGCCTTTTAGAATGACTAATGATCACTAAAATGTGACACTGTGTACCACGCAAAGTGTCATAACATCTCTGACTGATAGTTTTTATTTTGACTTGTTTATTATGAATTTAAACTAGTTCCACACATGCACTGTTGATGGTGCAGATGGCATTTAAAGCAGGTAAAAATAGTCTTCAAAGGAATTCCTTCCCTTGCCTCTTTGGGCCTCTTAAGTTGAGATAGAATTGCCAAAGATCTTTTAAAAAATGTATCTAAAATCTCAAACATGTGCTGTGTCAGAGTACATGGAGAAAGTCCAACATGTGCTTGGAAAACATTGGACGTCAGCTTTGAATATTTAGTATTATAACAAGACTTTTTAGCTGTAGTCAACAGACTATGCTGGCCAAAGCTTTTTTTTAAACACATGAACTTAACTTTCAGATGACTTTCAGATAGAAACACCATTTTGAACTGATTTTCTAACTCTGCTCTGCTCTTGTGTCTTTAGGAGAGACCCTGCTCAGCCCTCTGGTGATGTGTGGACCTCATGGCCTCAAGTTTTTGAAGCCTGTGGAGCTGCGCTTACCTCACTGTGCGTCAATGACCCCTGATGGTTGGTCTTTTGCTCTAAAATCCTCCGACTCCTCGTCGGGTATGCTTTGCTCTCTCTGTTCTTGCGGGGTCGTTTGGGTTGGCTGTGTGATGAACTGAGGGGTTTGGGTCACTGTTAAATCAGCTTTTAACCCTAGTTGTGGTTCTCTTTCCAAAATCAGCATTTTGAAAATTCCTGCCTTCAACATCTGAGAATCAACCTAGGGGGAAAATCTGCCATTTTTTTTTCTTTCATCATTATGGCTTTGGGTTGATTCATTTTTATCACTGGCTAACTCGCCCACACAATCTTGTTTGCTGTATCACTGGTTTTCGTTCAATCACCAATCTATAGAACTTTTAACCTGCATAAAATTGCCATATTTCTTGTTCTGTTTGTTTGTTCATCTTAACCACTTTCTCTCATTTCTGCTTAGTATGCATGTACTGGATGCTTAGCCACGCATTCGCTGAATTTACTCAGATAAAGTCATAGTGCATGCTTCTCCACTCAGAATAGTTTTTCTCACATAGCCACCCAAATCCTGACCTGAAGAACAAACAGCTCCTATAGATCCTCCAGAAACTAGGACACTGCCTGAACCAGTGATTGCCCGCCGTTATCCTGCATAAAAATCAAACTACACAAAGACGCTCACATCACTATGTGGGTCTCTAAAATTAGCTTTAGACTTTCAAAGAGGTTTATTTTTGATAGTAGCATTCATGTGAAGGTAAATTAGCATTCTTGTCTATTTTTCTTTTTTCCTCCAGAGCTGCCTCTGTTTCAAAACAAGTCCTGTCAGTAATATTGAACCAGGAAAAGGCAGAGAGAGTTATATCTGTGACTTCTGGAGGAGGAGATGCAAACAGGCAAATCTCTAAAAATAGCTAACTCCTTCACCAGCTAAATTAAATTTAGATACTTCTATCAAAATAATTTGTTCACCACATTTTCTTCAAAGAATCCCTCCACTGAGTTCCTACATGTTTCAAAGTGCAACATAAGGCAAAGCTAAACAGTGTTTAAAGTTTTAAATTACCCGAGAAAAACGTTAAGTCAAGAATCCCCAAAAGTTCATGTAAAACCGCACAATTCAATATCTTTATGTTTTGGAATCTATCACTTGTAGACTTGTAGTGGGGACAGCCTACAGAAATCGGGTTGGCGGTAGTCAACTGCAGACCCCTTTTTAAAGGAGGAAAAGAAAAAGCTAAAGACGGGGAGGCATTTGTCTGCTCATAGCACTGTCCTTCTCACGTCCCGTCCTCAAAAACAGTGGTAAGTTTGGCAGCTGTTAGGATTAGCTGTTAATTAGCCCCGTTTTAAGGATGAGGCTTTGGGGCCTGAAAGAAATGTCAGCCCTCTCTGTTGTCCCGCAGAATTGTGCGAGGATTATTGGTCCGCAGCGTAATCCTCTTATTGCGAAGCATGGCCACTCTTGGGCCTCCTCCTGTCCTCTGCTGTGGTTTTCTTCTCCTTTTTCATGCCTATTGAAGTCCTCCCCACCCCTCCTCCTTCACCTCTACTCCTTTTCCACACTGTGGTTACTCAGATACTTAACTCAGAGCCGGTGTGATACACTTCAGCTCCGTACAGAACTGATTCTTCTTAAAGGTTTTGTTTGATTATTTAAAAATCGAACAAAATACTAAGACAGAGGAATGCAGTTTCTTGCCTCACAGGCAGTATTTTGGGCTTGACCCAGGACATTGGATGTGTTCCACAGAGGTGATAACAACAACTTAGAAGTAAATTGCTTCCCTGTTGAGTGTCTCATTCTCACAATGAACTAACAGGCTTCTATCCTTGACATGGATAAATTATGTCTCTGCTAATGTTTAAGTTAGACAATAAATGCTCTATGAGATGAAGGTGGATTTATTTTCTGAAACCTTTAAATCAGACATCTATATATTTACCAGAGATACATGTAAAGGCTTTTAAAGTGTAAGTGTTTCTACATTTAAATGATGTGTTTTCTGGTCCTCCTGAGTCACATTTCCCATGGATTCCAGAATATTCTAAGAAAATCTGCTTTTATTTGAGGTGGCCATTTGAAGACTTTGCGTGAGATCAAACACACAGAGAGAAATGAAGGAAAATTCACAGCTTCTCTGGTGCAGGCTCAAAGAAAGCAGAGAAAAGCCTCACACAAAAGCCAGATGGAGTTTCATGTTTGTTTTGGCACACTGCCCCCTTCAGGACAAAAAATGAAATGCTTTCTGTACACCGTGGAGGTTTTTAGTGTCTGCAGACTGCTTTTGGTTTGTGTCTGGTTACAGTTAGCCACAGGGTGTGAGAGAAAGTGGCAATTACTGTCAGGAAAGATTTAAAATAGATGGCTAACTCTGGCTTTTTATGCTTACCTTGAGTCAGCATCAGCCACCTGCTCGAGCATAGATTTCAGCGAGCGCTCAAACAAGCTTGTTGACTTGGGCGCTGTTACTGTTTAGTAGTTTAACCCGAACAAGCTGGAGGCAGTTGGCTGAGCAGGTGGTGCTTCACTGACACCAACAACTGTGCAACACAACAGCACCCCGGAGTATACCTCAGCACATTGTGCCTTTTGTACAAAGTGCTTCATGCCCAGGTCTGGCTCCAACCAGCCTGACAGAAAAACTACAGTTCATTTAGAAATCCTGAGTAAAGTTAGTCATAAGTGGGAGGATGCCCAATTTGTGAGCCCTAAATAAAAAAGGGGCCAAGGCACCTCAGTGTGTGGCTTCCTAACTCTTTCGTTTAATTTGCAAAGCTGGTTGGACAGTGATCATCTGCTCACATTCATCTCCATCATCAGCAGCACTTCTGTTTTAACGCCGCTGTCTGAAGCATGGGCTTTAATCTGTGACATGGGCTGAAGCTGGGCGGCTCTGCGTAGACGGACCTCTGCTCATCTGGCTCGGAGTCCTCTCATTGATTACTGGAACTTTCCCCTTGGCACAGGCCTGCTTGTTTATAATTGCTCTTTCACTTAAACCTCTGAGGGGACTGAGCTTTAATATGCGGTCAACAGCAGGCTGGGTAATTCAATAAAAAACACAGAATAGCTTTTACCAGGCACTTGTGCCGTTGCGCTTGGAAATAGGCCACAAACATGCGCCGGAGCGTGGCTTCCCTTCATGAGGACAGCAGTGAGGGAGTCCTGGACTAAGTACTGTTTTATTATGACCGGTGGTTGATGACTTTTATTACGTAAAGGTGCCAAGTACATGTGCCTGTGAAAAACTACACAGGAATTTTACACAAAAAACAGCCGATTTTTGTTTGCTTAATTATTTATTAATTTATTTATCCTACCACAGGTGACCCCAAAAGCTGGCAGAACAAGTCTCTACCCGGAGATCCCAACTACCTGGTGGGAGCCAACTGTGTGTCGGTGCTGATTGACCACTTTTAAGGAGGCACCAGCCGGCGCGATGTTACTGAATGTGGAAGCGTGTGAGATCCAAACGAAGACGTAGAAAACACAGAAACTGTACATACACTGCAGCTGCACTCCATCAAACACACGCGCCACTCAGCGGAGTCGGAAGAAGAACCAGTCAGTGCTGTTTACTGCACCTGTGGATGAAGGCCCGACCGTTACAAGCTGTTCTTTAAATTCTTCTGCGATTTGAAGTTTTAAGGTGAAATGAAGCCTTTTGATGCATGCCCCGTGTCACTGACGATTGACATTATTATATATATAAAGCAGTGTTTAATGTAATTTTTTTACATCAATGTAGGTGAATGGATGGCTTTGGAGGCAGCATATGTGCCTCAGAAATCTGTCAGTGTATTTAACTATATATGCATACAGTATATATAGAGGTTTAGAGAAGACTTACTGAAATTGTACTGATGAATCCAGTTAAAAGTCTGTTATTTTTCAGTTCAGGGGACTGAATTTGAAGAACTATTGCCACGTTTTTCCACATCGAAGTAATTTAACTGAAGGGTTAGGGACATTCGCAGGCATCTATTGAAGGAGCTGGCAAAACATGAGCTGGTGACGAACCCAAGCAGCACACTTCCTGTAATCCTCCCTTTGTTCTTCCTTTTCTTAAGACAGCCGGTAGCTTCCTTTCTTACTGAGCACCTCGTCTCTCCTTCCAGCCTGAGCGAGATCTATGCATGTTCTGTACTCAGGTCCAGCCGCCTCCTCAGTCCCTTCCACACATCTTAGTCTCTCTTTCTGCCCTTCCTCTCCGTGTGCACTGTTGCACTCACACACAAATAAGCAGTGGATGCCTTATCTGCCGATTATTCACTTTTCATTTAGAGGAAGAATAAGTTATGATAAATTATGGTTTTGCTGTTTTTGTGAACCCACTGTACAAACGAACTTGGGTTGAGCACACAGTAACAGTTAGTAAAAGATAAAAAAAGGTAAACACTTCTTTTATCTCCTATGCATTACTTTAAAAAACAACAACAGATGAGAAGTGGCTGTAAATAAAGCTAGCTTATTGCCTTGTTTCTTTTGTTTGTAAATGAACTTTTTGTATTTTTTTTTGTATAAAACTTTGAGAAAACAAGTTCTGGAAAGCGCAAAAAAAAAGAAAAAAGAAGTGAACGTGGTTTTCTTGTAATCTGAATATACCCTCAAGCCTTGGAATTGTAACCTAACAATAATACATCACACCTTTTCTACCAATATATTGACACTATGTTATGGTCGCAAAACAGAAAAAGTACTTTCCTGATTTGAGAATCAGGAGAATACTTGAGCTAAAATGCATTAAAACATGTTCTTTTTAAAGGGCGTGCTCTCAAAGCGTTCCCATTCACTGATTTGTGATACTGGATGCTTTATTGTGTGCCCTTAAATGTATTTTTGTACTAATAGACAATATATTATGTACGGCACACCAGTACTGTTTTATTTTTAGATATAACACAGCTTTAACTGGATATTAGCTCTTCACGTGTGGCTGACTTTTTTTCTCTCCTATCCGACACAGTTTTAAGTATACCACTGTATTAATAAATAAAATAATTTTTGAATAATATGTCTGTGGAGAACTTTTTCATTTCAACCTAAAACCTCTTTATTTTGCTCATTTTTGAACATCTTTGGTAAGGTTTGCACTACAGAGTTGTACCAGTCTTCTAAACGTGTACTGGATAACATAAAAATATTCCTCATTTTCTGTTAGTAGTTTGGACAAACTGACAGTGGAGACACCGAACGGTTTAAGATGCAGTCAAACAAGGTGTTTCTATCTTTTCTTTTGTTTCAGTGAGGGACTGATTGTATACACATTTAACCAGTTAGTTTTTATTTATTTATTTATCCATAGCATTACAACGGCTCACCGCTGGGTGGCGCAAGTGAGCTGTAAACGAGTGTCAAACCCCGGTTAGGAACGAGGTGATTTATGTGGTTTTGTTTCAGGTTGGAATCAAATCCTAGAAGATTTTTTTTTATTTCCGCATACGAATCGTATTAAATGTTTGTTTTTTACGAGCTACTTGTGCTCAAACTGAGGGATGCTTGTGGGACACACTGTTTCTCCAATTGAGGGTTTATCAGAGCTGAGATTGGAGAAAATACCCCCCCTCCTCCCCCAGGTGTGAGCCACCTATAGGCTACCTGCAGCCCGATACAGGAGCCCATTTTACCGGGGAAGCCAGGCGTCGCGAATGGAGCTGGATCCACCTCCAGTTTCTTTTTCTCTTCTTTTTTTTTTTTAAGAGAAAACGCACACCGAATGGATCATTTCTGAGCAGTTTGCGTGAAAATCTTTGCCCGATTTCGAGCTGCTGCCACGTTTTCAGCCCCCACCGCATCAGCAGCACGGGGGAACAAATCCCGGGCAGTTTTATTAAACGTCGCCTCCCCTCCATAACGTCGTAGTAAGACGCACCGCTCGCAGCTCGCCGCCATGTAGACGCACAGAGTGGCACATCTCCAATACGCAGTGTGCGTCTCCAGTCCTGGCTGCTGGGTCTGTGTCGGCTGTGAAACAACACCTGAAGGCGGAAAACAAACGTTTGTTTCAGATTTTAACTCTAGGGGTGCGAATGTGTGTTTTTTTATTCACATTTTTTTTATTTGGCTTTATTCTTTTTCCTTTGAGAACGCGTCTCTTATCCGGGTTTTTATTTCTCGCTTTTTTTTTGGAGTAGTTGGAGAGCCTGCAGAGGCGTGCATGACAGCATGACAATGGTGCAAGGCTGGCTGACAACAAAAAAGATGCGGGTTTTTTAATTTATTTCTTTGACTTTTACGGAATGCGTTCTTTACCAGAACGGTCCTTAAGAACTCCGGTGGCGCATTCGAAATCTTTTCGCCCCTGGCAATCCACAGAGTTGCTGTTTGTGATGGTAAAAAAAAACCTGCGGTGCCTCGTCCAGCCTGCTCTCAGCTCACCTTTTTCTCTCCTCCCACCGGTCGCAGCTCGCCTCTAATTGGAGCGACAACCAGCATCTTTAATTGATGGAGATCATCCACACCGGACATTGAACTCACCGTCTCGCAGCGACGCCACGCCACCGCTTCGAGTTGGATGTTATTGTCCTTATTGCCTTGACCTGCATTGTTTTTTACATTTTTTTTTTAAACCTGGTCGGTCGAACCCTCCCCTGAGGATGCCGGTGAGCGCGCTGCCCCACGTCGGCAGCAGCGGCATCGGCGGCCCGGGACCCCTGAGCCCCGCGTCCCTGTCCCGCAGCCTGTCCCGGCTCAGGGAGTACCGGACGCGCACGCGGATCATGCTGGCTCTGGGGGTCTCTCAGATGGTCCTGGGGAGCCTGATCTTGGCGGTGAGCTTCGCGGCTCTGGCTCTCACCACCTCGCCCAGAGTCCGGCACTCGTGTCCCTTCTGGGCCGGTTTTTCTGTGAGTACAACGATGACACAAGGCTCAGACGCAGCGCAACTTTTCATCCAAAAGAAAAAGAAAAAACCCTTTTAAAGGATATATTTTTGCATGGTTGGTGCTACACATGAGGTGTTAGGTGTATCAATACTAAGAAAGGAAGACAGAACTGTTTTTTTTTTTTATCAAACCAGTCTCCATCTTATAGAATCAGGGGATGGAGGTGTAGCACTCAGACACAGAGGAGGAAGGGGGGGATGTTCTGAACTTGCCCTTGTGTGTGTGTTCAGGGAGATCAGCTTGGAGAAGTCCTCGTGGAGCTGTGGTTTCTTTATATGAAACGTTTCTTGTGGTTTTCTGTAAATATTTATGAACGCGCACATCCCTGATTTCCTGCCAGAGACGTGAAGCAGGGCTGGCCCATTAATTATAGAGGCAGTGGGGCATGAGTGCAGGGGTGAGGGGAGGTCTGTGCCACAAGGGCCGCCTGTGTGTGTGGGTGTGTGTGTGTGTGAATGATAGGGAGACTAATGCGTCTTTGTCTCAGTGCCTGTATGTGTGGGAGTGTATAGTTACAGGAGAACAAAGTGTAACCACTGGGGTCAGAGATCAAACGTCATTACGAAGCCTTAAGCCGATTGGTCAAAGCTCTGTGGAGAGGATGTTTAAGGTCTGTCGTCGTACTTTCTGTCACCTTTACTGTCTTCCAAGACAGTAAAAACACCACTGACGATTGATAAAAAGCATTTCTCCTGGGTCCACTTTACAACCGTGGACTGCAGGACTGAAAGGAGAGGGCCACTGCTCTCTCGGAAAAATGTCCATGTGAGATGAAAACCCTTTTTCTGTAGACAAGGATAGTTTGGTTTGGAGAAAAGAAGACTGTGGTCTCCGTTGCAACATTCTCTTCCTCCCCCTGAGAAATAATTTAGGTAGTATCATGGTTAGGGTCTGTTTTGGATGACTTCCTGTGCTGATCTAGATGGAACAAACCCATATTTTTGTAAAATATACAACCGTTCATGCTAAGTCTAATCTAGTTTATGTTTCAGCTGTTGTGGTTTGAGAATAGAATCACACCAGATGCTGTGAGAAATGTAGATTTGAATAATATCCATCATTAAGTGACGGGTCAGTCGTAAGAGGTAAAAAAAAAAAACATTAAGATTTTAACATGAAATTTGAAGATTTGTGTTAAAAACTGATGACATTTTATAGTCATGGGTTCTCAGAATTCAGAGCATGACTGAAAAAGGTTTTCTGTGTTATGCTCAAATAAGACATAAGCATTTTCTAAGGGGGAAAAACAGGTGATCTAACCAATCACGTCTGTCTCAGCACCAGAGGATTGTGACAGGATAATGAAAATTAGATTAATCATTCAAATCCAATTGCTCCTGTCTTCATTAGCACTTCAGAGGACGCTGTGTAATCAGGTACTGAAAAACAAACTCACAAGCAGGAACCACAAGCCGCAGTGGCTCCAAAACCCAGACAGTGTGGTCAAATCCAGCTCCAGACTCGACCGGGGACGGGGGTTATTTACCCATAAGCAGTCCGACAACCCAAGTCCCTCTTCCAAATAGTACTGAGAGCGGCCAAACTACTGCAGAAACCTAAAATAGAAACCTAAAATCTTTCTAAATGTGTCCTAGATGAAGAGAAATCTGCATCAGAGTGGGGAAGTGTTCCTCTTCTTTAGGTCAGTGTGTGAGCAGCTAATGGCCTTTTGTGGTGCTGAGCCAAATGTGTGGAATTGCTGTGTGGGCCGTTATCCCCAGAGTATCTTCTCCAAACCTGCCGCCTGATTCAGTTGTCTTTGTTATTTTTTAACTTCAATTCCCTCCTGAACCAGTAAAGTGACAACTCTCCGCTGCTGATTGCGCCGCAGATTGAACATGAAAGCTTTTTTTCTGTAGCGCCTCCTGCCATGTTGGGGAGCTCAGCTAATGAGAGGGGTGACAACAAATCCTCGTCTCGTTCGCGTGCTCGCGTGTGTGTGCGTGTGTGCGCGTGCGTTCGGGTATCCGTGCAGTCGCTGTGGGGCGCCATTAAGGACCGCTGTTGCGACGACTGCCGTTGTGGGATTTCATCACAGTCGCAGCCGGAGAAGGCGTAATCTTTACTTCCTACACGGAGCAGTCGCTGCTGAGCTCAGCGTGGCTGTTCCCTCCTCCTCCTCCTCACTCACTCACTCACTCACTCACTCACTCACTCACTCACTTGCTCACTTGCTCACTCAGAAACCTGAAGACACAGATCCCATTCCCATTCCGATATCACTGGATCTACGTCCCTCATCCTGATTTGTCACACTTTGGGGATAAACGCGTCTCTCACAGTTCTGGCGTTGGAGGCCGTGTGCCGGACAGCCTAATATGATGCATTCATTTCTCTGGCTGAAAGAGAATAATCCCACAAATGTCCCATTCTAACCCTTCGGCTTGCCGCCTGGCCCGGTTTGGGCCTCAACACCAACCAATGTGGCCGAGAGAGCTGAAAAGCTGCTGGAGCGTTGGGCAGATGACATACTGAAGAAATTTTCGCCTTGCTTGTTATTTTTGGGGGGGTTTTTCCCCCGAGAATTAATATCCAAACGGACGCAAACTGCCCCCGTGAGTTTTTCAGATCCTTTTGGCCTTCCTGAGCATTAGCACGTTTAAAAATGGCTGTGGTGTTTCCTATACTCGGTCCTCCCGGGCTGTTGTTTTCCTTCCACCCTCTCCTTGTTGTGTGAAAACAGAGGAATGTTGATTTTCGTCTGCAGATGCTTGAATGCGAGGCTCCGAACAGCCAAATCTGCAGATGGGCTGAACAAAGGGGGGCACTCAGGGTGTTTTGCTGTGAGGCGGCTCTCCCGGCTGCATCTCCAGCATCAGCCGTCAGAAAAACACCGTCCTAATCTGCTGGAACATGAGAGACAGAAGGGCTTTTTCAGGGGTCGCTTGGGTTAAAGGCTCATCTCCAGCCCACACTGGAGTTGATTTGCCATCATCAGAGAAGTGTGACGTTTTTTTATGGAACTACCACCTGATCAGGTCTCTTCTTTGCTTCCGACGGCCCTTTGGCTGACGGGAATAGATAGATAGATATCTCAACACCTGCAGAGGGAATGGACACTACGCCTCGGCTTTGCTTTGTGTTCTGCTAATCAGAAACCCAAATGACTTTCCGGGCCAATGTTCTAGTC